CATTCTATTAAAAAATAATTTTCCACAATTTTTTGGTTTTAATCAGGTTGGAAGTTATGTATAAAGCTTATAGTTAGAGTGGCTCAGGTTATCCTGAGCTATCTCTATAGTTATGCTGCTATAGGCTTAGACTGCTGGAGGACATAGGGACCCCTATTTCATCATTCTGCTTCATTCTCTCTCTATTGTCCCACTCTGCGGTATTTGTTAGTTTAATCTCTAAAGCGTCTGTCACACCTTGATGATTTAGCCAGCGTATTCCTGGCTTACGAAAAATCTGGCAAAAATGCTGGCATACATTGGTTTTGATCAAGTTTACTCATAAGTCATGGTGTCTAGCTTATCCAAAACCTATCAGTAACTTGAGCATAACTTATCAGGAACTTATCTCCAACACATATTATTGTATTTGAAATGTTCCAGGCGAATGTTAAACGTGTTTTTAACTTACTGCTAATGTATAACGGCTTATTGGCAGCATTTTGGATAAAAAGAGGGTTCACAGGAGGAAACCGTCACTACTCTCTGAGGCTTCAAACGGATGATCTCATCAATTTGGCAGTTGTAGGGTGAGTAAGAAGGTGAGCGTGATAGATCCTCCCTGCATTCACGCCCACGGCCACTACCAACACTAAGTGCCAACTTTCTTACTTTCTTTTTGCTTTTTATTTTTATTTATAATATTTAATTTTATTTTTTGGGGGCGGTAAACAGCAGCTAGTTTAATACCACGATCAAAGAAATCTTTTTATGCAGGCGCCCAGGCTCCAGGCTGTTGGGTCATTACCAGAAGGGTATAAGAGCTACGGACTGTCAACAGCTAAACGCCAGAGTGTTTGCCAGTATTGGGTACTCTAGCCTCCTGAGATTAGCTGTGTCTAATTCTTGCCTTTGTCTCTCTGAGCCTAAGCTTTGCCTTTGTCTCTTTTTGTGTTCTCCGCTAGGAAACCCTCCTGATCCACTGGATAAGCCTGGTCCTTCTCCTCCCTTGGAAGGAAATACTTTTTTCTCTCTCTGTGCAACGGAAAACCTTCATCTGAGCTGTTCAAGCCTACCTCTGGAAAACCCAGTGACAGTCCGTTCCTTTGCTCCTCTGAACCCAACTCTAGTCTGCCTGTCCGCCCTCCAATGAGTTCTGCACCTCTGGACTAATTCCCCCCAAACAGGACCCAAGGATCACCAAGAAACCTCCAAACGTGAGTCCACTCAAAACTATTTGTCAGCCTTGTTCAGTTTCCCTACGGATCGTGAACTCATTCTGTGATCTCCCTCTTAGAGTTTTCGTTTCCGGTTCACCAGACCGCTGGTTTCCCCGCTGAGAAATACCTGCTATCTATCTCTCTCTCTATGCATTGTAACCCTCACCAATAAATCTGTTAACTTTTACTAGCTTTCTGAGTATGTTTCCTGCATGTGTTCAGGTTCGATCTCTCAAACCCACCATGACATATACAAGGTCGATATGATAACTACATACCATGGCCAACAAATACTGTGTTTCCTAACTTCATTGTACTTTATTTTACTTAGCAAAAGTCTGGTTTAGAACTTGAAGCATTGCTTTTAGGAAACAATCTCCATTTAAAGGACACAGCCATCAGTGAATGTTTTACTTTAGCTCCTTTAGTGGCAAAATACAATGTTACGAAAACAAAGATTTGGGCAAATTATCCCTTTTTTCCATTTGCCTTTCATGAAAGGAACAAACCCAAAAACAACCAAAAAGATTTCAAATTTGTCTTATCTAGATAATGTTTTTCTCTTGCCTTTCAGGGTTTCCATATAATCCAGTAGAACCTGCAGACGTGACAACAGTTCTGGCTTTTATCTGAGAGTGGCAAGAAGGTAGCCATTGAATAAAGAACACCAGAGAAAGTCCTGTTAAACTCCTGAGTGGTTTGAAACTGAGCATGATGCCCTTTTCTGTTTATAAACAATGTGACCAAAATGTGATTAATATGTGGTTGTGTTTATCAATGGGGGATTTCATATTCTAAAAAAGCAAAATACTGTTTTTACTGTTAATTGTAATTAAGTTTGGGGGGAGTAATAAGATACAAAAATCTAAATGCAACAAAGAAAACCAAAGTGCTCTCTGACTTTAGAGGCATTTATTTTATGTCTGATTTCTGCAACATTTTTTTTTTTTTATCGTGGTGATTTCATTCAAGCAACAACAACAGAATGAAAGATTAAAGTTAAAGAGCTGTGAAGGCTGAGTGGAGATGCAGACCTTGGTAATGATGTTCATCAGATTCGAGTCGGAGGCTTTTGTGTCCCCAAATGCTTTGATGTTGAAGGCCCCCAGCAGGAGGGAGGAGGACAGATGCAGCAGAGCCACAAAGAACACCACAGAGCACAGCAGCCGCATCCTGGACCAAAGAGGATAGATCTAAATGTGGAAGATTGTAGAGTTAGCAAGTGGAAACTAGAAGTTTAGAGAACAGAATCACCATTTGGTTGAGATAAACTAATAAAAGGCAGTTTATCCACAGACGTCCATCCCCGTGAACACTGGGATGGAACTCAATGGGAAAGTAAATGATTCTTACTTCAACCGTTGCGTATATTAGCTGCTATATATGAATCAAGATACTATGACCGAAAAAATTTGATTGACAGATGAGCGTTGATATATGATTGGCCGAATTTAGGTGTACAAGCTGACGTATAACTAACTGGCCTGCATAGGAAAATGGGGGGGAAAAACACAGATTTTAAGTCAGGATAGTGACTGAGCAGCAGCCTATGAGTGAAAAATGAACAATTAAGTGCAGCCGTGATCAAAATGTAAACAACGTGGGAGAGACGTGGTGCAAAAAGGCATTGATGTGCAAAAATAGATACATATATATGTTGCGAAAATGCAGTAGAAAACATTTGAATTGACCTCTATTAGGTATGTTATCGTTGTGATGCAGATTCTCGATTTGTGACTTGATTAGATTTTTCCACAGTTCAACAGTCTGATGACAGCGGGGGAAAAGCTGTTACAGAACCTGCTGGTCCTGCATGGAATGCTGCAAAGCCTCTACCTAGAGAGGGAGAACAGTCCATGGTGGGGGTGTGAGGGGTCACTGATGATGTCATGTTTGTTATGATTCAATATAATATTTAATGTTTAATCTTTTGGGGGTGGCTGGTAACACTTATTGCACTTTTATGTAATATGACATAATTTTTTGATATGGTAAAAATCAGGTAAACTCTCTCCCTGCAAGATGAGGTGCAAAACCCAATTCAGCCAGAAGATGGCGCCTGTTAAAGGAGCACATAGATGGAACATATTACTAGCAGAGATAGAGATGTTCATTATTCAGAAGAACTATAAGCATTCATTCATGCTGTCCTTCTCATCTTGGTTCTGACTGCTCTGAGTCCTGCTGTCAGACACTTTTGTTCACTATTAGTAGTGAAAAAAGTTGTGTCCAACTTGTTAAACAGAACCAGTGTTGATCCTTTCATCTAATGATATGGCCTCCTGTTGTTTCATAACACATTAACCTGATATTTGTTTTCTTATTGAGCTCTAATTTATTTTCCATCCTTTGAGTCTTTTTAAAAATTATTTTTCACCTCTATTGTGTATCTAAATGTAAAGCTGCAGTATTACATTTAGCTCAGATTTTGCCAGAATCTGTGGTTTTCTCTGATGTTCACCACTCCTCAGCAAACAGAGTTCAATATATTAATATTGAATTGAATTGAACTGAATTGTATTAAACTGAATTGAAATATATTCTGTAAAAGGTTTAGGTCTATGGAGGGAATTTTGTTCCATTACTTTTGCAAACAACATGTTTTTTATAACTGATTTTTGAGATCTTTTAAAAAGAGCTACGGACATACGGAAGCATATTATATTCACCAAATAAATTAAAAAATCTGACAGCTTATCTCATAATTACAAGATTGGTATCTTGTAATTATGAGATAAGCTGTCAGATTTTTTTTTTTTTTTTTTGATGAATACAATACGCTTCAAAATTGTTTTCTGTTGCAACTGTATGGAAAAATTTTGATGTTAAGACATTCTTTCTTCTACCATTTGTTCTTGAATGAGGAACGAAGACGCATTTCTATTGGTCTGCAACAACATATTATTGAGGTAAAGAACTGGGCTTAAGGTAAAGATAACATGATCAGTAAAACTCAGTCTGACAGAGAGAACTTTGAAAAGAAAAACTGTAAAAACAGCATTTCTGTAAAAAAAAACATGTTCTTTGTAACAATAACGGAACAAAATTTACCAACGGAGCCAATACTATATAAAAGCTTTATGCCCTGTCATATTATAGAATCAGATCACTGTACAGCGGTGTGAGCAGCTTTAAATCCCCTGTTGTCGCCCACCTCAGTGTGGGATTGTGAAGCAGACAGAACACCTGCTTCACCGCCTCACAGCATTCTGCTGCTTGATCCACCTGTGAGAGCAGGAACATTTTATGCCATATGCAGCTTTTTCTAATCAACTTTGAAAGGGTGGACGAAATATAACACCAGTGAAGGATCATATGTTTTCTTGTTACCCTGGTTACACTTTTCAAACTGAACGAGAGAGAACGATTGTCAGACAACCTGATCAGCACAACAGCGGTCAAACTGCAAACAAGCAAAGAGCCAAGAAGTGCATACCTGCTCAGCAAGTGGAAGAGGAAAGCCTGTTAACAAAGCCTGGCTTGTATCAGTCCCAGGAGCGTTTATATAAACCCAGAGTCCAGCCGCTGATAACATCCCCTGTCAGGGTTTTGTGTTTACCTGCTGAACCATGTGATGACTGCATGCTTGGAGCAGAGATGAAGGATGGGTGATGAATTTAGCTCAGAAATCCTGTTCAAACTGCCACACTGTATAACAAGCTAACTTTCCTTCTGGATTTTTGTCTTTTGATAGTAACATTTCTGCAACATAAATTCCACTTTGGCCCTAACAGCTGCATTAGATGGGCAGCTGCCCTTTCCAAAAGTATTCACAGCCCTTCACATTATTACATTTCATTAACAAACTTCAACTCTTTAGATAAAGTTGTAGATGTTGACCAACACAAAGAAACGCGTCTAAAGTGCAGATAAAATAGATTTCAGTATTTTTATCTCTTTGCAAATTTGAATGATGTGTGTTGTGATATGGTATTAAGCCCCTTTTTTACTGTGTTACCCACAAATTAAATCAATTTAAGGTTATATAGTTTGTCTTTATGGGGTTTGGACATCGACAACCAACTTACCTTTGCAGGTCAGCTCAGAAACTATGGACAGAATCTGTTAACCTCTTACACCCTCAGGGGGTATAAATAAATTTCTGCCTGACAAAAACACACAAAAGTAAAT